CGTTAGTGGACTATGGGTAGGGTTAGGGTAGGGTTATGGTTGGTTTAGGGTTAGGGGTAGGGTTAGAGGGAGGGTTAAGGGTAGGAGTAGGGTCAGGTTAGCAGCAGGGTTAGGAGTAGGGGTAGGGTTAGGGATAGGGTCACCCTACCCCTACCCTAACCCTACTCCAACCACTAACCCTACCACCATCCTTAACCTTACCCCTAAACCTAACCCTACCCCTACTCCAACCACTAACCCTACACCAGCCCCTAACTCTACCCCTACCCCAACCACTAACCCTACCCCTAAACCTAACCCTACCCCTAACCCTACCCCAACCACTAACCCTACCCAAACCCCTAACCCTTCCCCAACCCCTAACCCCAACTTCTCCTGTTTTGCCATTTTTCAGAAATCCGAAAAGGGCTTCGGCACTTCTGAAATTCAACGCTATGGAAATTTGGAAATTCGGCAATATGGCAATATGGTTCGGCATTCCAAAATTCGGCACTTCGGACATTTGGAAGCATCTGAATTTCCGAAATTCGTGTGAATTTGCATTCAGAATGAAACAAATTGCACATGTCTAGTGTAAGACCCACCTGAGGGGGTTTGCCTTGACGTGGCAGGCGGGCATTCCCTCCAATGACCATTGGTGTACCTAAATAACCTCCATTTGTTTAAATATACATAGGGATTTGGGAGAGCGCAGGTAACTTTTTTCTTTGGTTTTTAAAGAATTCAAGGTGTTGTCTTGGCCTCCAAATTACCAAGATCTCAATCAAATTGAGCAACTATGGGAAGTGATGGAACAACATATCTGATTCATGGAGACCCCACCTCATAACTTGTAGGAGTTAAAGGATCTGTTGCTAATGTCTTTGTGCCAAATACCACAGGACACAGTTGGAGTTCTTGTGGAGTCCTGAAAAATGACTAGGTTTGTGGAAAGTACTAAACTTATTTTGTATTTGCTTTAGGAAATATAAAATTATATTGAAGGCTGGATTACTCATAAGCAATCTTATGCACGTGCTCAACGCATGGGGGGCCCCTGCACATTCTAATTATATTATAGGATGAGCAGTTATAGTCTCTTCTTATATTTTACTGCTACAGCAGCATAATAATGATATATCCATTAAAAAATAATAAGTAGCATTAATAAAAGGTAGCAATGCAAAGTATAAGATCCCAAGTTAGAACCTCCAAATGTTAGATTTAGGGTAGTCGTGCTCTAAGTCTTCAGACACACGCAGGTGATAAACAGATCAGTATGGCACAGAGATGGACATGTAGCCAAATCTGGAAAGAAATAGAATGTTCAATTAGTTATAGCAGCAATTATACTTATGACATCACAGACAGATATAACAATGATTTCATAGCTAAGGTTCACTGATTCACGGGTGGATTTGAGAAGATATATATGTAATCAATATAAAAGATGTCTTCACAATCAAAACACATTTTATATCAGTATTAAAGGAAATATCATAATCTCCATCTCATTATCATCTCCCTCACCCTCTTCTTAAACGTTAGTCACTCTTTGTCAATTAATCACTTTGCTTTGCTACTTTCTGTATCGCTTCTCTTCCCACCTCCACCCATACAATCATTAGAGCTTGCCTCAAATTATACTTCTCCTAGTATTATCTTTGAAAGTATTCAGAAAGCAGAAAACGTGTGATAAATCAAAAAACATGTTGCAAAATGTAAGTAAATATAGCAAACATGGAATAATTTCAAGGCAGCAGTTTGAACTCTTAATGGCACATTACTATTTAAATAAATACAATTCTGTCTGTCTGTCTGTTGTCTATCTATCTCTGACTGTAATTTTACATTAGTTGAATTTCATACAGTATCTTATTTCATTGATGCATAATGCTAATATACACTGTATATACAATTTTATTTGATACTAAATACAGGTTATGTCTAATAGGGATGTGCATGGGCAAAAAATTCGGTTCGGCACTTCCGAAATGCGAGAATTCGGGACTTTGGCAATTTGATTCGGTTTGGCACTTCCGAAATTCGGGACTTTGGCAATTCAGGATTTTGACAATTCGGCACTTTCGGTTCGGCACTTCCAAAATTCGTGACTTTGGGAATTCAGGACTTCAGCACTTCGGGAATTCCCTAACCCTACCCCTTACCCTAACCCTACCCCTTACCCTACCCTAACCCTACCCCTAACCCTACTAGGGTTAGGGTAAGGGGTAGTGGCAGGGTTAGGTTTGGGGTTATGTTAGGGGTAGGGTTATGTTAGGGGTAGGGTTAGGGGTAGGGTTAGGATTGGGGGTTAGGTTAAGGGTAGGGTTAGGGCTAGGGTTAGAATCCTGTAATCATTTCCTTAATTTTCCCTCCCTCTCCTGCTTTGCCACTTTTCAGAAATCCAAAGCACTTCGGCTTTTCCGAAATTCGTTACTTCTGCAATTCGGTTCCGTTCGGCACTTCTGAAATTCGGCACCTCCAAAATTTGGCACTTTAGCAATTTGCCAATTCGGACATTCGGAAGCATCCGAATGTCTGAATTAGTGAAATTCGTCCGAATTTAAATTCGGACCGAAACGATTGCACATGTCTAATGTTTAATGAGGGTGAGGAGTAGAAATATACTGCATATGGCTTGGTGTGTCCCTTGGTGCCTGACCAATGGACAGACATACTATTTGGTTTTATTCCCTGCTCAACACATCAATTGATACAATGATCATTAGGTTTTATGTGGCCAAAACGTCAGCCATTGCTAAGGGTTTGCAATAAACTAATCTAATGGTTATGCACAGATAGACACCAGGGCCCGATTTGCATGTCAGGTGCCTGTAGTGAGTGCATTCTACGACACCCTTGCTACAACCACAACCCCCCACGCTAAAAAACAAAAATACACAGCAGATAAAGTGAGTTTTATAGAGTTACTAACTGGACACTGCAGGCATAAAAACACCTAAAAGATAACTGCATAGGTTCATATGTATGTCTGTGCACATTTCTGCTTGAAATACATTGTGCTTGAATCTGTGAGCATAGTGCATGTATGCAGCTGTGTAAATGAATGCAGAGTTACAGAAAATGTTAGAAGTGGTTAGGGTAAAGGTTTGAAAGGAGTTAATGTCAGTGTTAGTTTACATAAGATGTTTATTGTTAAGTAGATATAGTCAGGTCCATCTTTTTGGCTCTATACACCACCACAATGGATTTGAAATGAAATGAACAAGATGTGCTTTAACTGCAGACTTTCACCTTTAATTTGAGGGTATTTACATCCAGATGAACGGTGTAGGAATTACAACAGTTTGTATATGTGCCTCCCACTTTTCAAGGGACCAAAAGTAATGGGACAATTGGCTGATCAGCTGTTCCATGGCCCGGTGTGTGTTATTCCCTCATTATCCCATTTACAAGGAGCACATAAAAGTTCCAGAGTTCATTTCAAGTGTGCTATTTGCATTTGGAATCTGTTGCTGTCAACTCTCAATATGAGATCCAAAGAGCTGTCACTATCAGTGAAGCAAGCCATCATTAGGCTGAAAAAACAAAACAAACCCATCAGAGAGATAGCAAAAACATTAGGTGTGTAACCGCTGGTGGTTCCCTTATTTACCACTATAATGTCTTAAAGCATAGAACTTAGTAGGGCTAACCATACAGATATCTTAGCCATAATTTTATATAGTGTAAGAGATCCTCTATTTAACATATATAAATAATTGAGAATACAATATAAAATAAGGATTGTCTTGGAAGCAAGATTGTCTTTTTGGATATTTATTATATAAAAATATAAAATCCATTATAGCAGAGTTTATAAGATTAAATTAAATGCTTGCAAATATCATTAATAGGTTAACATACCCTTCTGAACATGTCATCATGTCAGCCTCTCTGTCATTTTAAGATGGAGCAGCGTCTGTCTCCAAGTCTCTCCTCTGAGTCTTAACATTTAAAAGTACACCTATTTATACCTTAGGTGTCTCCATTTTAAGGTTACTGTAGTTCAAATATGAAAAAGTAACACTTCTTTTACTTTATTCAATTTAGGACCTCCCTTAATTTGGCAAACATACAAGGCCATAACTAAAGGGTGTATACGTCATGGAAATTTTCCTGACTTAGTTCAAGATGGCATCTTAAAGTCTGAATAGGTTATCTGTTGTTTATACTAAGTCGTAAGTGTACAGTCGTGGGAGATTCCCGGATTTGGGGAAGTTCCATTAACTTGGGGTTACCACAGTATATTGTGTACTGCAAGTGTCGTAGTATAGCCTTGAAGCTTGTTTATGCATTATTGTTATTGTAATTCGTCTGGGACAAAATGGCGCAAACATATTATGCACTGAGGTTATTGCTTAAAGAAACAGTTATGAAAAACAATATGTTCCATTTCTAACACCTTGTCAGTTTGCAATATATCTTAAAGACAAAGTACACAGTTTAAGAAATACAACATTTCATTCTAAAACTTGTAATATTTGCATTTGCCCATAACACCCTCTCCATTAAACTGTGGGCATTGTAGCGCATTTCTTCCTTAAATTAGTGAACCAAAGTTCTCCAACTGTCTTTAGGTTTTTGTGCTCCCAGCATCATGGATCATTGTTGTAACAGTAAAATATCCGTAGTGTGATCTTTGCATGTAAAAGTGGTTGATTAAAATGAGCAAAGCTTTTGTCTGGGAATGAATTGAAAAGAACACCAAGTTCCAGAGTAAGATATTTTTTGATGGATCCGGATGCAGATTGTAATCCAAAATTAAAAGTAGTAATTGTATTTGTAATCCAAAGTCTTAAAAGGCCTGTAGAAGTTTACATTCCTTAAATACATTGCTGGAGGTTGTGTTTGTAGAATACCCGGGTATTTGTTGTAGAGTATAGATTGTAGAGTCCAGCTTTCCAAATATTTGGCTAGAATTGGTTGCGGATATTGAATCAGCATCATCTGTTATCACCCTGGTGATGGTGTTGTTGTTTGTCTTTGCCTTTTATTTTTTCCATGAAACATTTTTACACAGTTTATGATGTGTATAGATTGGATACTCTCCGATATTCTTTTACGGTATTAATTAATTGACATAATTTCCAAGACATTGTCTTAAGTGACATGGATCCCATAGTAAATGTTATGTTGATACAGCAATCGAAGTGGATTCTCAGGAACACCTCTTTTTGCTGTATTGGAATCTTTGTAACATCTCAGTGATAGACATCTCACTGACATCAGGTGCTGTTGTGCTAAAAATGTTAACAGGTAAAATCTGTGGAAAAATCTTTACATTTGTTATAGTTTGTATAATAATGATAGATGAAATAGTAACATAGTTAATCTTTCTAGTGTTTTGTTTTCTAAAGATAAACACCCTTGTATATGATTTAGCTATATAAGGATAATTTGAAGCAGCAAAGTATTTACCGCCTTTGTTCACAATGGTATGTAAAATTACATTCCCTTATTTAGTGTGGCCAAATCAACTGTTTGGAACATCCTTAAAAAGAAAGAAAGTACCGGTGAGCTCAGCAACACCAAAAGACCCGGAAGACCACGGAAAACAACAGTGGTGGATGACCGAATAATTCTTTCCCTGGTGAAGAAAACACCCTTCGCAACAGTTGGCCAGATCAAGAACACTCTCCAGGAGGTAGGTGTATGTGTGTCAAAGTCAACAATCAATAGAAGACTTTACCAGAGTGAATACAGAGGGTTTACCACAAGATGTAAACCATTGGTGAGCCTCAAAAACAGGAAGGCCAGATTAGAGTTTGCCAAACAACATCTAAAAAAGCCTTCACAGTTCTGGAACAACATCCTATGGACAGATGAGACCAAGATCAATTTGTACCAGAGTGAAGGGAAGAGAAGATTATGGAGAAGGAAAGGAACTGCTCATAATCCAAAGCATACCACCTCATCAGTGAAGCATGGTGGTGGTAGTGTCATGATGTGGGCATGTATGGCTGCCAATGGAACTGGTTCTCTTCTATTTATTGATGATGTGACTGCTGACAAAAGCAGCAGGATGAATTCTGAAGTGTTTCGGGCAATATTATCTGCTCATATTCAGCCAAATGCTTCAGAACTCATTGGACGGCACTTCACAGTGCGGATGGACAATGACCTGAAGCATACTGCAAAAGCAACCAACGAGTTTTTTAAGGGAAAGAAGTGGAATGTTATGCAATGGCCAAGTCAATAACCTGACCTGAATCCGATTGAGCATGCATTTCACTTGATGAAGACAAAACTGAAGGGAAAATGCCCCAAGAACAAGCAGGAACTGAAGACAGTTGCAGTAGAGGCCTGGCAGAGCATCACCAGGGATGAAACCCAGCGTCTGTTGATGTCTATGCATTCCAGACTTCAGGCTGTAATTGACTGCAAAGGATTTGCAACCATGTATTAAAAAGTGAAAGTTTGATTTCTGACTGTTAATCTGTCCCATTACTTTTGGTCACTTAAAAAGTGGGAGGCACATATACAAACTGTTGTAATTCCTACACCATTCATCTGATTTGGATGTAAATACCCTCAAATTAAAGCGGAAAGTCTGCAGTTAAAGCACATCTTGTTTGTTTCATTTCAAACCCATTGTGTTGGTGTATAGAGCCAAAAAGATTAGAATTGTGTCAATGTTCCAATATTTATAGACCTGACTGTATGTAGCTTGAGTGGGATTATAGATAAGGGGTGTTTAAACGTTTAAGGTTAGAGTTGGGTTAAATTTAGTATTGGGGTACATGGGGTGCATTGGAGGCTCTATACTTTGCAAGGCCTTAGGCAAAACTCAAACATGCGGCTCCTACTCACAGCCATAGTGAAAAGAATAGGGGTTGCATTGTGTGTCTAATGTGTGTGCATAAGGTGCTGCAAATATATTGAAGTGAGCACTTGCAGCGCTAGATACAAAGAGCTAGTCTCAGTATTCATTGTTCAGAGGATTGTAGTGACATGACTCCCTGACTGTAGTTATGGCATAACTTACAAACAAAATTAATTTGCAATTATGCTAATCGTTTATACACGATAGCGGGGTATGGTTGCACAGCCTGCCAGTTGTGTATACATAAGTGTTGGTGTGATGGGGTTATTGGAAACAAAAATGAACATTTTGGTTAATCACAAAAGTTTTTGTTTTTTTAAATTCATTATTTTTTATATAAAAAAATGTACAGAAAATAAAACAGTGTTTCCTCACATTTTGGAGTGGTGAGTGTTTGTGTCGGGGAGGGGTGACAGTTTATGTGAGGCTGAGTTTCAGCGACCAGTCTCCCTACATTGAAATACCTTTTTTATGCAGGATTTATTTTCTGGTTGTCCAGTTGACTTCCCACTGGTCTGTGGTCTAGCTATCTGGTTTGCAGCTACACCGGGTGCTGAGTTGCAGTCTAGGTGGTAAATGTCTCAAGAGCTCTGGCATTTGACATTGCAGATCTTTGCCGTGGTATCCCGCAAACAATAAATCAATGTTCTGATTGTCTGGAGCATGAGGACACCTACTTCACGGTCTGCAACTCTGCACCAAGCACAAGTGCAGACTGGAAGTGCTGGGCTCTCTCTCCTCTGGGCAGAACTGAGTGGAGAGGCCCTGCACCCAGCAATGTACAGGGAAAACTGTGGGCCCCCTTCCAGTGTCAAGCCTTTGGTTATGGACCAAGGGCCTGACAGTTCGGTCTAAGTTGCCCCAATTGTTATACAGTGTGCTTCCCTCAATGCTGTCCTGCTCCTTCTACAAGTAATTTCCTGTATGAGTGGGCACATGGGAAATGATCCCCTCCACTTCCTACTCGTACTTATTGTTGGTTATACATCAAAAAGAGACACTGATAGATTGTAAAGAAGCATATTAGGCTTTACTTGCAAACATTTAGAACCAGCGGCGTACATACCGCGGTCGCAGCTGCAACCGGGCCCGGCTGCCCTGAGGATCCCCGCGACCGGGTACCAGCTGCCACGTTTTGCGCAGCAAACCGCCGGGGCCGCATATGGAGGGGTCCATCGGGTGGCCCATGCTGGGCGTTTTAACAGCGCGACTGGGCCCCCTGTGATGACATCACTGCTGGGAGGAAGTGATTCCCCGGGCACTCCTCCCAGCTATCAGGACCCGCGCGGGAGGAAGGAGGAGGGAGTCAGAGTGGGAACTCTGACTCCCATCAGGCTGAGCCCCCAGAGAAAGTCACAAGGTAGGAAACATTTTGTATATGTATGTGTATGTGTGTCTGTGGCTCTGTATGTATGTATGTGTGTCTGTGGCTCTGTATGTGTCTTTGTCTCTGTATGTGTGTGTGTCTGTATCTGTGTGTCTCTCTGTATGTGTGTGTCTGTGTCTCTGTATGTGAGTGTGTATGTGTTTGTCTGTGTCTCTGTATGTGTGAGTATGTGTCTGTGTGTGTCTGTCTGTGTATATATGTGTGTGTCTGTATGTATTTGTCTGTCGGGGGGTGTATGTATGTGTGTGTCTGTCTGTCTGTGTGTATGTGTGTGTGTGTGTGTCTGTATGTATGTGTCGTGGGTATGGGGGGCACGGATTGGGGCGAGAGGTGAGGTGGGGGGTGGGGGAGCCCACGGATCAGTTTCGCACCGGGGCCCCATGGATTGTGTGTACGCCAATGTTTAGAACATATCAGTTACATGAAACAGCAGCCAGCAGGGTGAAAGGTAAAAGGAAGACAGACATAGAGCAAGTAAAAAAACAAGGAACTTCCTGTGAGTGTACCAACAAGTTCATATGTATATATAAACAGTACTCTGAACTGCACAGCGCCATCTCCAGCTCAAGTGCTAAGTATATACATACTATGCAGTGCGTGCTGTTGTATTTCCCAACATTTATCTCTTCCCATTAGCCTATTTGAGCCGAAAAAGGGTGCCCCTATGGGACAGGCACCTTCTCTGGCTAATGGGAAATCCTACCTTGGTAGATGCTAAAGGGTTTCCTGCTATAGAAAAAAAATAACAATGATAGTTCATAATTCTATGGGGCTCTCCCTTAAAATATGGGTCCGTGGTTTGAAATGTTTCACTATTCAAATTCCCCTACATTCCTCCTTTTCCCCTTGTGCCTATTGTCTTATTTTTCCTTTTTTCATTATTTCTCCCCTTTCTTATTTTTACCTTTAGCCCTAACTCCCATTTGCCCTTCCATATCCTGCTTTCCCACTGTGATGATTAGATTTCTTTTGAGCAATTATTGAGCATTAATATCCCTAAACCCGGGTGTATCAGTGTACAATGTGCATTCCAAAGTATTTTGCACTATGTTTTTTGTTTGTTTTTTTTTGGAAGTGGTACCTCCTTTGCATTGATGCTGTCCTTACATTTGCTCAATGCACTGCGTTTTCTTAATTTAAAAAAAAAAAACATATTTGCTTAAAAAAAAAAATTGTATTTGGATGGGATTGGAAAATTACAAATGGAAATACTAGCAATAAATAAATACATAAAATACACTACTCAAAAAAATAAAGGGAACACAAAATTAACACATCCTAGATCTGAATGAATTAAATATTCTTCTGAAATACTTTGTTCTTTACATAGCTGAATGTGCTGACAACAAAATCACACAAAAATTAAAAAATGGAAATCAGATTTTTCAACCCATGGAGGTCTGGATTTGGAGTCACACTCAAAATGAAAGTGGAAAAACACACTACAGGCCGATCCAACCTTGATGTAATGTCCTTAAAACAAGTCAAAATGAGGCTCCGTAGTGTGTGTGGCCTCCACGTGCCTGTATGACCTCCCTACAATGCCTGTGCATGCTCCTGATGAGGTGGCAGATGGTCTCCTGAGGAATCTCCTCCCAGACCTGGACTAAAGCATCTGCCAACTCCTGGACAGTCTGTGGTGCAACGTTACATTGGTGGATGGAGCGAGACATGATGTCCCAGATGTGCTCAATTGGATTCAGGTCTGGGGAATGGGCGGGCCAGTCCATAGCATCAATGTCTTCATCTTGCAGGAACTGCTGACACACTCCAGCCACATGAAATCTATCATTGTCTTGCATTAGGAGGAACCCAGGGCCAACCGCACCAGCATATGGTCTCGCAAGGGGTCTGAGGATCTCATCTCGGTACCTAATGGCAGTCTAACTACCTCTGGCGAGCACATGGAGGGCTGTGCGGCCCCCCAAAGAAATGCCACCCCACACCATTACTGACCCACTGCCAAATCGGTCATGCTGGAGGATGTTGCAGGCAGCAGAACGTTCTCCACGGCGTCTCCAGACTCTGTCATGTCTGTCACATGTGCTCAGTGTGAAGTGCACAGGGCGCCAGTGGCGAATTTTCCAATCTTGGTGTTTTCTGGCAAATGCCAAACGTCTTGC